GCCTAACTTTTTTTCTTATTCATTCTTTAAAATCGTTAACAATTTAAAGCAAATATATAAGTACTGGAATGAGTCTGCACTAAATGAAGATGGCCCCTTAAAATATCCAAGTACATTAGCATTAGTAAGCGTACATAATTGATCATAAATAAAATATAAGCAGTCACCAGCTAGGCGTAACATTGGAAAAGCAATAATCTATATAAGTTTTGCTACAATAACAAAGCTATTTAGAATACAAACTGAGGTGATAACAGATATGGGGTGTATGTGAATTATTGCAACTAACGTAGGATACTGACAGCCGGCTCTTACATCACGTAATTTTCAGGCAGTTCGATGACATTACATGTTGAATACACAACAAGAACATGCTATTATAACGTTTGACGTTCTGGTTTGCTTTATCAACGATTTAATACAATACAACTGTATAACTGCTCACAGTGTTAGAGATTCATTTTAACTTTTATGTCAACCATTTAAAAAATATTATTGTTATTATTATTATTATTATTATTATTATTATTATTATTATTGTTATCATTATTATTATTATTATTATTATTATTATTATTATTATTATTTCATTATTATATTCTTATTGATATTGTAATACGAATGCAGTAATGCATCTAATAAACGATACTAATAAACGCGTTGCTTCCACGTGTCACACATCATACTACAGGTCAGACAAATACTAAGTCATAAAATTATATTAAACCTGAATACTGTGGTAAGTCATGTATATAAGAATCGTAATGTAATAATAAGGATAATAATGATAATAATACGTTCTGTTGTTTTTTTATTTAACAATTTATTAAAAAAAATAATATATAGGCCCATAATTTGCACATAATGTTAATGCTTAATCTTAATTTTTATATCAACAATTTAAATTATTATTATTATTAATTATATTATTATTACTATTATTCCTGTTATTATCATTATAATAGTCATAATCATAATCATTGTATTATCATAAATAATGATACTAATGATATTATTATAACTTAACTAATTATCAATATTACTGCACAAAATTGTAATATTAGACCTATTGTTTTCTATGTCTATTTCTGTCTTTCAAGATAGGCCTGAATAAAAAAACATTATTAATGTTGAAAAATATTCATCTGTTGTAGTGCTATTCGTAGTGAAAAGACAGCGAAACTATTAAGGTTAGTGAAATTAAATCAAGATTACTTTATTGTCATCGATCAAACAAGTGAACAATGAAATTAATATTTGTTTTTTTTTATTTTTGGTTTGGAAATAAGAAACTTTAATATTTAATGTTCGAATGATAGTACATCTGTGTTGGCATTAATAGCAGAATGGGCCTCTATAGAACTCTTAAAATAACAGCTAATTTTACAAGTCAAAGTTATTATTGTGTATAGACAACATACGTTCAAGATTCTCTTAACATTTTAATGTTTTTATAGTACATATATATTTTTGTGTATTTGTGCATAAAATGGTGAATGAGTAGGTATGTTTGCCCTGTATTCACATTCACGTATCAACATCGGACTGGTATTGGATACAATGCTATTATGTTTGCAATGAGGAGATTATCTAGTAACCCTTGCCCAATTAACACTGTATTTACAAACTATTAATTGCTTGTTCTAAGTTAACAATATGTATACTCAACAACTAAAGTACCGTTATGTGTTTAACATAATAATCGGGTGATTTACTATTGTGGTGTGGCAACCATACTAATCGATTACAAAAGTATAAACTCAAAGACAAAACAACAGATTGAGCATTGAAATTCAGACGGACTCAATGATCCACTTCGGACGATGAATTGTGTTGACAACAAAACGCATAGCCTGCACGAAGGCCATTGTCGCATGTCATCCCTTAGATAAATAAAACCAGGATACACTTCTCACCCCTCTCTACACAAACTGGGTAAACAAGTCACGCGGACCGTATAAAACAAATACTCTATACCTATAATTCCAAAGCGCGCGATATTGTTGTTTCGTAAATACGGCGAGTAAATGATTCTGTTTTTGTTGAATTGTTTTACACGAAACTAGAAAATGGTAGCAGTTACGCGATAAAAAGAAAGTCAAGGATAACCATGGTTGTTTCGAGAAAAGACAATAAATAGCCTACGTAAACCTGTGTAAACTTATTGAGTTTTTATAAGCTTACTGTAGCAACATGACCTTATAATACTACCAACACCTTTTTGTATGTACTGTACTGCTTTTATTGGCACGTAGATAGTCTAGCCAAGTTAAGTGTCTAAAATAAATTATCAGTGACAAGAATAGTAAAAGTGATAAAAATAATATTGGTTATTCGGGTAATAATAAACATAATTACATCAGTTGAAAAACATGATATATTATCAAAGAAAACCTAGAAAATTTGGAATTTAATAGGTAATTGTCATGAGACAGCATTGTCGTTTATGATACGTGCGCGATTGAATTTACATTAAAGCTATACTTTGATGAGGGGTAATTACTGAATTGATAATATTAATCACATTAATAAGCAAGATCAAGGCGTTGATAATTAATGATGATCCTTACTTATGCCCTTATTTTTTTCAACGAGTAAGACGGACCCGCCAAGATGCTAATGC